ATGAATGAGGTCGAGGGTTCAGGCAAAGAATGTCTGTGTGATAACCTCTCATCCCCCTGGCTCACATCTGTGTCTTCTAACAATTCAGACTCCAAATTCTCAGCAGGCTCCAGCCTTTCATCCTCAGAGTCATCAGAATCAAAACTCACAGCAGGATCGATCCTTTCAGTCACAATATATATATATATATATATATACATACATACATACACACACACATATACATATACATATACATACACACACACACACACACACACACTCACACTCACACTCACACTCACACTCACACACATGCATATATATAAGGGATGTGGTGGCTCAGTGGCTAAGATGCTGAGCTTGTCAATCAGAAAGGTCGGCAGTTCGACAGTTCGAATTCCTAGCACCGCGTAACGGACTGAGCTCCCATTACTTATCCTAGCTTCTGCCAACCTATTAGTTCGAAAGCATGTAAAAATGCAAGTAGAAAAATAGGTAGCACCTTTGATGGGAAGGTAACAGCTTTCCCTGCGCCATCGGTGTTTAGTCATGCCGGCCACATGACCACGGAGATGTTTTCAAATTGCGCTGACTCTTCGGTTTTGAAACGGAGATGAGTTGGGAACGACTAACATGTATGTGCGATGGGAACTTTTTCATATACATACACACCCATACACCCACCCACACATAGACACACCTCTTTTGGAGCATGTATCTTGATTGAAAATAATATAATCTAGTGCATGTCTCTATGATGAAAATTTATATATTTATATTGTCATCTATACATGAATATATACTACATGGGGCAGGAGGCAGAATTAATATCAAAACAGCAGTAATGGTGAAATGTATGGGAAAGTGATACATTTAGATAATGGATAGCAGAAGCAGAATTATGTCTAAAAAAGCAGCATGATGCTCAAACTCGCAAAAAGTTGAAAATAATTGTATATATTTGCCTTTCAAAGTGAGGAATAGCAATAGCACTTAGATTTATATACTGCTTCATAGTGCTTTACAGCCTTCTCTAAGCGGTTTACATAGTCAGCATATTTCCCCCAAGGAAATGTGTGTCCTTCTTTGACCCACTTCAGAAGGATGGAAGGCTGAGTCAATCTTGAGCTGGTGAGACTTGAACTACTGGCAACCGGCAGTCAGCACAAGTAGCTTGCAGTACTGCATTCTAACCACTGTGCCACCAAACCCAAACAATTTTGTAAACACAGGTTTCTATGCAGAAAAGTATGGCAAGAAAGGCAAATGAAACCCAAGACTTAAACTTTGGGACATATAGGGAGAGTTAGGTTCTCAGATAACTTCAACTTAATCAGGACTGCTTGGCATCTGCAATAAAGTAATGTGTATATCCCAAACCTCCTCCTTGGATCTTCTAATAAGCTTGTGGGAACGTATTGGATTTACGTCCATTTCCAGGCAGCATTGCTGACATGGAGCCATAGACCAGATGGAGACATTCAGGGCTTCATTATTGCTACTTTTTGCTTGGATGCTTACTCAGTACTTTTGAAGCGAAATAAAACAAAACAGTCTGTTTTTACAACCATTGATTTCTTTAACCTGGAGAAGGATAAACTTCCATTCAGATAAAATGAATGCTTATTCTGGTTTTGGCAGAGCAGCATTTGTCAAATTGAAATAACGTGTCCCTGGAATGCATCGCTATATCCGAAATAAAATTGAAAGTTGTATAACAGAAGCTTGCCACTAGTAATTGCTCAACAGACCTATAGGCAGTTTGCCATTAGATCCAAGGCCTTTCTTCATTTATCAATGATTCTGATAAGTCAACATATAGTTCAGCAGCGAGAATTGAGATGTTTGTATATTGGATGAATTATACAAGAATCTGTAAAATTGTTACACCACTGATAATTGTAACCCTTTTGGTAAAAAAGGTTTATTAACTTACTCAGAATTGATTTTTCTTCTCTGCTGTTTAATTCTTATCCTATCCCTATCCTGCTTCAATTTTTTTGTGGATGAGCAGAATAGTTTTTTCTAGTTCCACTGACAGAATATACAGCAAATTTGGATATTCAACCCATATTTTAGAATGGCTGCATTTAAGGATGCTGCCTAAGAGTGGAGCTAAATATGATGCTAATTATTAAGGCTGCTTCTCAAAATAGCAATGCTCCATGAAGGACCGTAATGGAGCATGAGGATGACCTTGAAGAAGGAAGAGAGGAAAAGAAATTGCCTAGAAAACAATCAGACAAGAAAGGCAGGACCTGCCTCCCCAGTGACTTAACAGCTAGAGAGAAAAACTTAGAATGATGTCAGCTCTCCCAGGTAAACCAGATAGGAAACATGACTAAATGAGCTAAATCTACTTTATTGTAAAGCTACATTAACAGAATCTTGCGAGTCTGGAAGTACAAAATTTCCCACCACCTCTTTGAATTGCTTGCTCCATTAGGGCGGGTCCTTTCTCTTTTCTCCATAAAGGAAAATATATACATGGCATTTCCTCCTCCAATTTTTCCGTGTCAAAATAACCAGTTAGAAGGTTTGACTGAAAACTCATGACCCATGAGTTTTCATGAGTAGACTTGCGTCAGTGAGATGAGCTGCATATAAATTTGATAAATAATACATACGTGTCTCCATGGTCCTAGTCTAAAGACCTTAACTCCTGCATCACTGTTGTTCTGGGGTTTATGTGTCGTTATGGGATTTGCTCCTTGCATTAGCAACCTTCCACCCTTTTGATGGGTAGAAAAACTGCTTTTTCTTAATGTCTATGGAGAACATATAGACTTTTTCTCAGTTCTTCAACTCACTACATATGTCATTGTAAACTGTCTGAAAAACAAAGCTAAGGACCTCTCCTTTTCCTTAGTTAGATGTCAATTAGTATCAGTTACTGGTTTTCTGCTTTTTGGAGAGGAATTTCTTTCATTTCACTAGGACAGAGGTGTCATGCTCACATCGTCACAGCAGCGTCATGTGACATATTGGGACTTTTTCTCCCTTGGCTAAACCACACGTGGGCATGGCCAGTGTGTGATGCATCTGGCCTGTGGGCCAGGAGTTTGACAACCCTGCACTAGGATAATAAAGATATGCACATAAACCTAGTTGGTAGTAAATTCCCACTAGTTGTCACTCTATTATTATTCCTAGAAGAAGGACAGGTTGGGGGTGCCTGTGTTCCTTCTCAGACATTCACTGAACACATGAGGAGAAATTGCTTGTGTCTTTTTAAGTACCCTTGGGGAAGCAGCATTGCCAGCAGCGGAACGAGCTATAGTCAGTAACTGGGGAACTGTCTCCATTTGTTCTTTGCTAACAACTAACACAGCTGTCATGCCAGTTACAAATAGGGTAGAAGAATCTAGCTTAGTCGATTCTGCATTGGCCAAACATCCCTGTCTTCCTACACTGGCCTCTTACAGAAGTTTAGATGGTGAAGAGGGAAAAAAGAAGAAATCTTCCTCTAAACCAGCAGCCCAAAGAGGGTGTGGTTTCACTTGCTGCCTGCATCCCACAGATGGGGCTTAACTTGTTTGCACAGCCCGGTTTCTGGCATGCTGAGACCAGTGGTGGGATTCAACCGGTGTTACTACCATTTTGGTGTCTACATTTTGCACACTGCATGTAAAAAAACCTTTAGCTGTGTCACCCAGACAGCTGAAAAGCACTGTGCACAGGTGCACAGCATTTGGAAAGCCTCTTTTTTCCTGCTTTTTCAACCTCAGCTGTGTCGCACAAAGCAGCTGAGATTGAAAAAGCAGGAAATAAAGGACAAGTAAGAGCCCAGGAGGGCAGGTGGGCCAAACAGCAGCAAACACAGAACCGGTTTGGTGTCTGCTGCTCTTCAGAGCTACCAGTTCTATAGAGCTGGGCAGAACTGGTAGCATCCCACCCCTGGCTGAGACCTAATGCTGTCCACGGACCGGGAGTTGGGGACCTCTGCTCTAAACACAACTTAAGTCACTCTGAGTAAACAAAGAAATTGGCTGAAATTGTTATGGTGTTGGTCTCCTCCCAGTGATTTCCTAAGTGGTTAGCAGAAGCCATTACAATATCATATTCATTAACTAAACACTTACCTTCAGCATTAGTATAAAGTCAACATCAGTAATTCTGTTCCAGGGATTGCTCATTTCAACCCTGTGTAGGGTGGTGTTTGTCTCATCTGTTTTTGTTTGTGCTAGATTTAATAGTTCATTTGCTTGAGTAATCTTGTTCTTTTTGGCATAAAGGAAGTGTTCCACCATTGTAAACCGGTGTGTGTGCTATCAAAACGAAAAAATAATAACAGGTGGTTTACCTATGCATTATCTGTGCATTCATTTCCCCACTTCTGTGCAGATGCCGTCCTGAGTAAATATGTTGCATTCTTTTGACTGCTGTATTGACCTCTAGAAATGAAGGAAAGTTAAGATGAAGATTTCTAGTCATACAATGTAGGGTGCCCTTCCTGCTCAAAATATTTTTAGCTATGAAATGTTCATGATAAAAGCATCTATGCAGATACAAACTCTATATTTGTGAATGTATAGATGACTATTTGAAGACACCAACTTAGAGATAGATAGCCAGTTTTTCTAATTTTTGACAGTATTCACAAGATAGGAAACCAGTGCATTAATAAAAAAAATATGGTTGATGGATCACTCTACATCCCTATTAACCTACTGTTACTGTATTTGTTCTTGTCCAAAATTTTAAGCATCATAACTACAGAACTTTAGATTTATGATGATTTTCCTGCAGTTCTTGTATACAGTTGCAATCTATTAACCAGTATTTTATTTATCTATGATTCTGTTTTCATGGGCTTCTGTACGGCTGAAAGTCTTCCTTGGTGAGGAAGTATGTGATGTGATCCAATCATCAACAGGCTTGATACTGGAATGTTGTTTCTTTTGTTCATGTTTACATAGGTGCCTTATAGCTCAAATAGGTTAACTGGCAGCCTGGCAATACAGTGTTTATATTAAGAATTTGCTTTGTAAAAATTCAGAGCCTTTGTTTTCTCATAGCTGTTCTTGAGAAGCCACTGGAAAAAAAGGCTGGAAGGAATTATGGTCCTCCTGGAACAAAGAAACTCATCTACTTCATTGATGATATGAATATGCCTGAAGTTGACACTTATGGAACAGTCCAGCCTCATACACTGATGCGGCAACATCTGGACTATGGGCATTGGTAGGTTAGGGATCTAGATCATTTACACTGAACTGTATTTTGTTTCCACCCAATCTACATTAAAAACAAACAAACATAAAATCAAACAAAAATATTCAGAGTTGTTATGATGATTTTGCCTCTGATTTACTGTTATACAAGTTTGTTTATAGCTCCAGTTTGTTTTCTACCCCTCTCTATACACACATGAGTAAGAATCATGTCACAGTCTTTGGACATTATTAAAATCTGATGGATACTCTAGTTAAGTTTGAACTGTACATTAATCCAAGAGATGTAGTCAGGTCCTTTGGTATCATTCATGAAGATTGAATTCTTCACACACACCCATGGTAAGGTTCTTTATTTAATGCAAAACTCCCAATAAAACTTCTTGTTTTTATTTGAACACTGCAGACTATAGAATGTGCAATCCACCCTTTTTCTTTGGGATGTATTAGCTTCTTTTTAGCTCTTCCCCCACCCCCAGTCTTCCTACCAGCTTTGCCCTTTGAATGGAATGTAACTTGTGGTTTTAATGAATTTGGTCCCATCATGGATATGCATGATTTTAGAGGAATCACGGTCATTATGGAATGCATTGATGTAATGGAAACATATGTGAATTCTAACCTCATCCAGCCCCCCTGCCCTCAAATTGTACAGTCTCTGTTAGAATATTAATTGAAAACAGCTGGGATGCAGCAGGTGCCTTGTGCTCCTCCAACATGCTGCTTCAGACTTGGCAATGCTTGGCAGGGACACTGCTGTTGACTAATAATCTGTGATTGGGATGATGCATTCTTTTTTCTTTTTCTGGCAAAGGTATGACAGAAACAAGCTGTCCCTGAAGGAAATCACGAATGTGCAGTACGTGTCATGCATGAATCCCACTGCAGGCAGCTTTACTATCAACCCACGTTTGCAGGTATTGCTTGCTGATCTAGAACACTGCTGGTTTTGTTAATTACCTCCAGTTTTTTCATGCTTGATTAGATTGTGCCCAAGCAAAGAGAAGCTACAGAGATGGAACAGTTTATCTGTCACAAATCAAAACTAAAGGCTTGATAGGAGGGGAATGGGATGGAGTGGCCAGCAGAAATTAGTAGTTTTCTGGGATGATCATCCTTTATATAGAATTAACTGATTATTTTCTATATTGCTTTAATACATCAGTAAACCATATTTCTCTGCCTTTGGTTTAGGCCAATTGGGATATGACTTTATAAGTTTCAAGAGAAGAATAACAGTATTTCAGTACCATGGACAGCACCACATGGGTTTTCCCCCACTCCAACCCTTGCAATGAATGCAAAGTCCTCATCACTGCAACTCCATCTCTAAGTGAAATAGTAAATATTGTGATTGCCTCACTTAGTGACAGCAGTCCTCACAGTCCCAGGTGCAGTTGTTAAGTAGATCACCTGTGGTCATTAAGAGAGAACATCGCCCTTACTTGTGACCTGCTGCTAGCTTCCTATTGACTTTGCTTCTCAGAAGCTGGCTGGGAAGATTGCAAATGGCAGTTATGTACCTGTGGGATAGTTGTAAATGTACAATGGTTGCCAAACGCCAGAATTGTGGTTATGTGATCACAATATATACAGTACATATACCCTTTCTCTTCTGTATGATGCCTATTGATTTGTATTGTGTTTTGTTTTTTCATATCATGTTCTTGCAGCGCCACTTCTGTGTGTTTGCCCTCTCATTTCCTGGGGCAGATGCTCTTTCCACCATTTACAGTACTATCCTAACTCAGCATCTAAAATGGGGGAACTTCTCCGCAGCCTTACAGAAGTCATCCCAGCAGTTAATACATCTGGCTCTTGCTCTGCACCTGAAAATAGCAGCCACATTCCTCCCAACAGCGATTAAATTTCACTACAACTTCAATCTTAGGGATTTCTCCAACGTCTTCCAAGTAGGTTGCTTTCTCTTTGGGGAACTATTTATTATTTTGACTGTGGTATTTGCTTAAGGAGGCTAGATTTTGCAATTAAGTCAAATTATGTTGGCGGTGTTCAACCATATCCTCTCCAAGAGTCAGTTTGCAGTTTGGCAAAATAAAAAAGTAAATAGGTTAAAAAAAAAAAGCAAGAACAAGAAACCAATATGCTGCTAAAAGGTCAGTTGCTTTTTCTGTTGAATCAAGGCCTCTTTCTATATTTGTTGGGTTGCTGTTGTAATATTTAGGATAAGTCTGGTCCCTTATTTTTGCCATCTTTGATCTGTTTTACAGTCAAGGGTGAGTTTTTAACATGTAACCTGTACACCACCCAGAGTCACTGTGAGTTAGGTGGCTTTATAAATATGGTCTAGAAATGAATGAATGCACAAAAAAGTAAATATTTCTGTGGTATCATATGCACATTGTAATATTATCAGTTCATGAAAGAAATTCAGGGTTATTGCAGTCATTTTATTGTTCTGTGGAATAGGTATTTCTTCCCCTTTTTATATAATAGTAATTATTTATTTTAAAACTTCTATACATCTTAGCTCTTTCTGAATTAAAAAAAATTCAGTGGAGTCTTCTTCTTCTTCACACCATTTAATAATGTGATTTATGATTGCCTAAACTGCAGCTTCTTTTAATACACTATGGATGACCTATTTTAAAACATGCACCACCCAGTTTACTGAGAAATATGATTGATTATTATTATTGCTGTATATTGATTATCTTGCTTTTAATTAAAATAGAATGTGTGAAAAGCAGCCATTAGACAGAAAATCTAAAAATAATTTCTTGGAAGTTTGGTTTATTCAGCTAATAGTTTAATTTAGTTTAGCATTTTTATGTACTGCCCAAGATTGTTATAGGATACAAATATACATATGTAAATATGTAAAATTTATAATATAATATAACATATAGAAATATGTACTGTAGGATACACAGAAAACTAACACATCTGTAATAATACTAATGAATTACAATAATTTGATTTGACAGTTCCAGCATTAAACCTACATTATCCTTACAGAAATTGCAACTAAGAATAACTTGGCAACATTTTTTGTTGCTTTGAGTTATCCTGTGGTAAAATGAGCAGCCAATACATTTCATAAACAAATAAAGCTTTTTAGATATTTCAAGAGAACATTCTTCTACCAGAAAAATATTTTTCTCATCTGGCCAGTCCACCTGACCAGCTAATGAAGAATGCAAAGTTTAGTATGTGAAACAATGAACAAAAACATGTGAAACTGACTCTATTGATCCTTAGAAGCAGGCACTGAGCAACATTATTATTATTTCCTCTTTGAAACCATAGCTAATATAACATTGAATCTAGCTTGTGAAAAACCTCACTGAAACTGCCTCTCCACAGCCCACTGTATAATAGCAGCAACAATGTCTTTGTAGGTTGGGGTCAAATGCATCTTCTTTTATCTTCAAATACATCTTTTTCATAACCCCATTGAAGCAGATACTGAGCTGAAAACCTGCAAAAATGTAAAGCCGTATCTGTGCTCTCCTTCCAAGAAGAATATGAAGGAAGAGTTTTCTGCTCAATTTGTTTTTAACCAATACAGTAACAACAAGATTGTGCATGTGTCTTTGTAGCAGGAAGATCAATTTTGAGGTGCAAAAGTGCATGAACATAGCAGGGACTTAAAATACTGCTATTAAAATGTACTCTGAATTACTTTTAATGGTCTCAAGTCCTAAACTGCACTTTTTGTTTTAAAGAGTTTTACTGTTGCAATGGCACATTTGTTCCTCTGGGGCTGGCACATTGAACTATTGCATTGCCCCCCTTTTTTGTGCATACATTACTTTACTTTGACAATTTCATGTTAAGGAAGATAACCCCTAAGTACTATATTTTTTGCACTATAAGACTCTCCAGACCAAAAGACGCACCTAGCTTTTGGGAAGGAAAACAAGGGGGAAAAAAAAATCTGCCTCTGCCTCCCAGCAATTTGCCTGTTTGCAGCAAACACTCCCTTCTTTTCCCCATAAGCCCTCTCAGTGTTTCCTTTTCCATTTGATGCTTTGCCCATTACATTGACTGTTGTATTGCTCCTTTTTTTATTCTACTAGACTCCAGGGCTATTGTGGATTCTCAAGAGTTTAAAATAGGTATGGTGGGGAGGAAAGAATAGAAAAGCTTATTTTTATATTCTAAGGAATATCAGCACCTGAGTGTTCTCCATGTGAACAGAAACAAGTGCCCCCATGAAAAGCCAATTCCTGGGCTATCTTCTGCAGCTTTTCATCTGCCTCGGAAAAAGCTCCTTCTGTCAGCACTGCTCACTATTCCAGAACTTGGCTTCCCCTAAAGTCAGTTGGGGTTCTATTTTCCTGCACTTGCACCCTTTCTCTCAACTGTGTTTTGGACTGCCTTTTTCCAGTTGCTTTTGGCTGATTCTTGAGTTACCTCTTGGGGTTCTGGCTGTCATAGCCACGGCCTCTTCTCTGCTGCTCCAGCTCTGCTGCTTCTGACATCTTCCTTCCTCAATATTCTATTTTAATTTCCATCCTCATCTTCCCTTTTTCCTCTGTTGTCAAGGTGGGTTATTTTGAATTCCTTCAATCTTTCAATCTTAGACAATGTAATCTTTCTCCCAGACCTTCCTTAACTGTCCTTTCATATCTTCCCCAGGGTTATATCTCTGTTCCTTTACAATAATGTTTATTTTGGCATCTGAAAAGAGTGCTCCATGTGAGTAAATAAGGTTGCCAGGATAGAATCTCACCAATCTAAGTTTGATTTTATGCATTGAGCCAACTTCTAGTCTTCTCCACCCCTTGTTGGTTTACTATTATTTAGTTGCTTTATGATACAAGCGAGTAAATATGTGGATAAAAAAACTTGGATTACGGGAAGGAGTGAAATGGGAAAAAAAGTGTTTTTAGTGTAATTAGTTTCTGTTCTGAGGCAGAACAAGCTGCAAATCATCAGAAAAATTTTAAACTTTGGTCTAGCTTATTCCAGCTGAACACATCTACCTCTTCTTTTTGTTTATCAGTTAAGACTTGGTATATTTTCTTTCACATATCATTTCTCCAACATTAATGTCCAATATTATTTTTTATATAATATTATACCTTTACCTATATACCTTTATTGATTTTCAAAAAAAGTACAAAGTTAAATGCTAGGCAAACAGAAAAGCAAGATTTGAAAAAAGAAAAAGCTCAAAGAAAAAAAGAATAGAGTGTGAAAAAGAAAGAGGAAGAAAGAAAAAAAATAGAAAAAGAATGACCTTTGACTTTCTTCAGTACTTATGAATTAAAAATGCATCAAACTCATACACTGATTAACAGTTGTCTACATTATTTCCATAGTCCGATAAAATTCTAATAAACAAATCCCCCAATCAACTTTTCCATTTTTTCAGTTTCTTTCAAAAAGTCCAAAATTATTTCCAAGTAGAAATAACATTTGTCAACAACTTTTCTTTTCAATTTTGCCGTCTTCATCAATTCCACCAGCTTCACCATCCATTCTTTCATTGTAGGTATTTATAATTCCTCCTCATGTGAGCATGTGAAAGTCTTGCTGCCATTGTCATGTACAAAAACAAAGTTTCATAAGATGTTTCCATTTGTTTGTCCATTATATCCTGTATTATTTCGGAAGGCTCAGTAAACTTTAATTTTTTGTATTCCATACCTAAACAATCAAACCAAGGTTTAAATTGGATTCTAGTATAATTATTTGATTCTTTACCCACTTTTACTTCTTAGATATATTGTTACTGATAATTTGTTAGTTATCAGTTAGTTTCCCTCTGGTTGCTGTGGGGTAAACTCGGTCATAAAGTCTACAATGCTGATTATCATGCAGATGATAGTAACTACTTCACAAAATTTCCTTTTGGTTTCTTCCACAACTGATCCATTTAAAGTAAGACAGTTCTCTCTCCCTAATATGACAGCCCAGGATTTAGCATTAGTTCCTTCAGCCCTACAGTTTATTTTTTTAGCTCTTTTATCACAGTTATTCCCTCTTCATAGGTATACTCTTTTATCTTTGCCAGCTTTTATAGAGTGGATATTATTATTATTATTATTATTATTATTATTATTATTATTATTATT